CAGAAGCTAAGTAGTCTGGGTAAAAGGTGTATTCTCTCAGGAGTGGTGGGCCTTCCCAGTCTATAGCTCTCCTGGATGGGATCTAGGTCAGAAAGTAGTTATGCTGTTTAGCAATTACTGGCATTTTTTCAATAGCCCTTTTTTTTGGTATTAACATCCAAGATTTTTTTCCCTATGTTTGGTGTCTTCTTTTCTTTCTCAAGTCTTGGGAATTGATTCTTCAATATTCTAAAGATTTTGTTGCCTTTCATGTATCATCCAGAAGCTCTTCTCATTTTATCTGTCTAGGTACCATTTCTACTTTCTCATGTAGCACAAAAGTAACTGTGATGGTAGAGCCCAAAGGTGGCATTTCAAATGGCATTAATAGGAAAAAAAAGGTGGTTTTTTTTTTAATGAAGAAATCCTGACAAATCTTATCCATTTTTTTTATCTGTTGGTCTTTCAATTTTCATCCTTAAATATTCTGTGAATGATCTGGCTTCTTTAGGATCTTTTGCTTTTTATAAACTTATTTTTCACTTTGACTACTTCTTGCTATTTTATAAGGTGATACTGCCTGTGATCTTCTACTATAAGATTTTTCAAATAAATTTATATTCTAAATTGGTGTTTCTTGTGGCTGTTCTATTTTTCTGTTTATCATTTGGTCAATAAGTATTTATTAAGTATCTACTATGTGCCAGGCACTGTGCTAAGAGGGATAAAAAGAAAGTGGGGATAAAAAGAAAGGGAAAAAAAAGTCCCTCTTTTTAAGGAGCTTATAGTCTAAATAGATCAAGGTTTTGCTGACTAATGTGGTTTTTAGGGGTTTCTATTTTCCTCTGTGGCAATTTTTTTCTTCAGTTTAAATTCATTAGGAAACAGTAATATTCTGTGTCAATGTTTATTCTTTTATACATTTCCCAATTTTTAATGTCATTAGATTGTTTAAAAAATGTCAGATTTCAATTGCCTCAGTTAGACAACATAGCTTCTCATTTTTTCTTCAAATTTAACCTAATTTTATTCATTTTTATCTTGGCTGTAGCAAGCTGGTGAACTCTGTGTACATACAAAATTGATGCAGAAATGTCTCTCATACTGGTAAAGAGTTATTTTCTGTTTTTTAAACTACAATTAATTTCACTCTATGTGATGTTATTTTCAGCTCACCATTTCTATTACCCCTCTTTTCTTGAATAAGCTGTTTATGTTTATAGTCTTCAAAATTTGGTTTTTCTCATTTATTACTCCTGAATTATATTTTCCAATATGTATCTCCACCATCCTCTCTTATGAACACTCTAACATTAAAATTTTCAGGTACGGTTGAGGAATATAGAATGCACAGTAAATACCATTCTTTACTAGCAAGGTGATTCTCCTCATAAGGAGGTTTCTATGCTAATTGGAATTATAGATTTCTTCTCCTACCCACACAAACACAAAAATTCCTGTATTATTCTTCATACTTTATGTGTCTAAATGATTTTTATCATTATTTATTAGAGGTGGCTGGTGAAGCACTGGATATAGCACTAGGCCTGAAGTCAGGAAGACTTGAGTTCAAATTAGGCCTCTGATACTATTTGTGTGATCCTGGGCAAGTCACTTAACCTGTTTGCCTCAGTTTCCTCATCTGTGAAATGGGAATAATAACAGCACCTACCTCCCAGGATTACTGTGAGAAACAAATAAGATATTATTTGTTAAGTATTTAGCACAATGACATGTAGTAGGTACTATATAAATGATTATTCTCTTCCTGTTCCTCCTCTTTGAAAATTGTATTATTTAGTCAAATTCTAGAAAATATTCTCTTAGTAATCTGATAGGTATAGAGCCAAATCAACCTAGCAACTTGGGTAGGATCATGGGTTTTGCCATATTGGTATGACCTTATCATCAACATTGACTATTCAATTATTAGTTTTCCTTTCACATCTATAAAAAATTTTCCCCATTGTATATACAGTGAAGAAACATGAAGAAAATAATTGAGAACTATGTCTTGATTAAGAAAAATCTGTGTTAATCTCCTGTCTCACATACTTACTAGTTGTCTGAAAATGGGCAATTCATAAACTCAGTTTCCTTAGCTTAGCAAAATGGGAAAGTTGAACTTGATGAACTCTAAATTCCCTTCCAACTCTAAATCTGTGATCCTGTGTGGCTTGGTAGGTAAATGAATTCTGAAATCATTAATACATTGTTATTTTCTTAAATGGAATTTTTCATCCTTTCTCTTCTTCCTAGGTTTTGTTAAGTGCGGAAAAGTTTTTGAATTTTATGAATTTATTTTGAATTTTTTTAACTTTAGTAAAGCTATTATCTTTTACTTTTTTTTTTTTTAGTAATTCTGTATTTCAAAGGTTCTTAACATCTTTTTTTTCATCATGGACCCTTTTGGCAAGTTGATAAAGCCTATGGACCACTTCTCAGACAAAAAAAAAAGTTTTAAATGCATAAGATAAATTACAAAGGATCAAAAAGGAAAAAAAATTTATGGAAAAGCAGTGATCAACATATTTTAAAAAATAAGCTCACCACCCCAGATTAAGAATTTTTGACCTTGTCCAACAATGCCAAGGTAAAATTACCTCAATTCTATAAATTTACAAATCAGTGGCAGAGCAGAAAATCAAGCACTGACATCCTGACGCCAAGTCCAGAGGCCGTTGTACCAAGATATGGCCTAAGCTGCTTTCACTATGTCATAATTTTGTCTAGGATCAGTCCTGTTCTGTAGCTTTGTTTGTCACACTTTTCCTAGTACTTCTCACTAGCCTCTTGTAGTTTCCAACCTATAATATTCTATATAAAGAGCATGTTCTCAAGAATAATGATAAAACATATCCTGGTAGAAATAAACAGAATCAATTATTAAACCTAATAACAACCAATCAACTTTTATTTGCATAGCATTTTAAGACAATGATAATAAAGGAGACAAGAGGAGGTACAAATTAAAAAAGTAAAATAGGACAAAAATGAAGAAATATGGATAGGGAGGCTAGTATGCCAGGAGTTACACGATAAAAAGTCAATCATAAGTATCTTGGGTAAGGAATAAAAATGATATGAGTAATAAGTCATAATAATAATTATGTCCTAGTAATAGGTTATAAGTATAATTATTTGATAACACACATAGTGCAGTGATTTGTAAATGAAAATGAAAGAAAGAATGACTTTTGATTAACAGAATAAATTCATGAAATCTTAGAGCTAGAAGAGACATTCAAGATTGTCTATCCTAGGGGGTCTATGGAGAGATATTTAGGATCAGATGCAAAAAAATTACATATTTATTTCAATATAAGTAATTACTTGTATAATTCTGTGTATTTTATTGTAGGCTTTTAAAAAGAATATTCTTTAAAAAAGTGTCCGTAGGATATGTGATAAATGAAAAACCCCAAATGACAGTTTCTGGGTAATTAATAATCAATTAATTAATTAGGCTAGCTGGCAATCAATAAATTGATAGTGTTTTCTCTTGGTAACCAAAGATAAGCCCATGGAGAATGTGAAAGCCTTAAATACTTTTTGAAATAGAATGCCTCTGACAAGTGAAAATCAACTCTGATTGGTAAACATTTAATAACTTCTTCAGCTCTGCCTGATGAAAAGGTGGCTTGATCATGAGACTCAAATGCCTCAAGCAATCTGGATAGGGGAATCATCTCCATCCAGGCCACTCTGGTTGGTTTTCTTTTTCACGGGCTGTCTTACCCTAAATTCTAATGGTGGGGTACAAGGACTGGGACTCTTTTCCCTGGGGTAATAACTCATCTAGCAAGCTACTGGAGTCACTAACCATCGATTATATTTGCCAAAGTTATGGAAAGGATAGCCATTTTAAAATAGGATATTTTGATTTCTTTTGTACTTCACTACTTGCAATGTTCATCTCACGTACCACAATGCTTCCTATACATACTTCCCTCACCACTGTGTCTCAGGTAAATTATTCTGGTTTTATATATAGTTGCTACTCAATTGACATTTTCTAATTTGATCAGTGAGTTAGGTAGAAATCTTAGTCATAATAACTGATGTTAATATAGTATTTTATATACAGTAATTACTGCAAGAATTATTCCCACTTTATAGATGGGGAAATCAAGGCAAAGGGAGGCTAAGTAATTTGTCCATGATCACACAGCTGCTAAGTGTCAGAGGCAGGGTTCAAACCCAGGCTCTTACTGACTCTAAATCTTGGGTGCAACACCTCCCATGTTACTGGAAGCAAGTCAGGCTTAGAGTTTGCACTTCTCCTCTGTCTCAGGAATAGGAGTAAAAGAGTGGTACTAGTTGCTGGTGTTCAGGGCTATTTCTTGAAGATGTGGAGGTCCCATTCACTGAGACAAGCAATTATATTGTTAGAAAGGGCAATGAAATATTATTGTTTGGTATACCCCAGTTGGTGGTTCCTAATTTTATTTCCCCCTCGCATGGAAAGGCATCGGGGACAGATTTCTGTTTTTCTGAAAGGACTGAATTTCTCATGGATTTTACTATGTCATTTTGTCAAGCTATTCCATGATCTACAATCATGCACTTTTCTCCCATGTGCTTCTTTCAGGAGAACACAGCATGAAAACATTGTGCTGATTTTTAATTAACAAATAGCACCCTGAGGTCTTAGGCTTCTGTCTCTGGTTTAATTACAGCTGTGAAGAGAATATAATGAAACTGAGGAGAGTGTCTCTACATGATAAACAAGGCTTGGTTCCATTGTTACATAATCTGAACTGTGAAAACTTACAATGGTTAAAAGCTCCAGATGAGCAGAGGGCTTTGGTTCTTACTGCAAGGAGTCATACCTGAAAGAGGGCAACCACTTCCTTTAGAAACTTGAAAGCTAATTCATGATATGTGGGAGATCCAAAAATTAGTCCTCTGACTCTCATGCAGACTTTTACAATAGATTAAACATGATTCTCATTATCAAATCCAAGCTAAATGTAAAAATAATGGTGATAAAAAATTTAAGTGTTCCATGCACAACTCACCAGAGTAGCAAATAGATGATAAAGAATGAAGTAGATGGCAACCACAGGTGCCCACATATGGCCGACAGCATTGAGGGTCTGGTCCATGACATCTACCCATCCTTCCTGGGTAAGTATCTGAAACATTGACATAAATGCCTAAAAGAGAAAAATGAAAGGTATTAAGACACAAATTTGGTTCTAAAATTGGTCTTTTCAGACCCAATTTCAAAATGTAGGTAGTGAGGGTAAGAAGAGTCAGCACATGGGTTGCTATGACCTGGGCCTGTTCATTGCTAAGAAGTTTCAAGGAACAAACTTGTAAGAATCATAATTAAAGAACTAAACATGTGATATTGAAAGGTGAGAATTAGAAAGACATTCATACAGTCATCCAATAAATATTTACTCAGTTCAAGGCTTTGCTAAGGGGAGCCATAAACAAAAATGCAATATGGGCATTGCCTCATGGAGCTTAGAGTCTAGTTGAGCAGATAAGTAATGAATACAAATAATTATGAAACAAGATGGAAGTTTAAAAAATAATTTTATTTATATGTTTTGTTTAATGTCACCTATATTTCCCAAAGTATTCTTCCCACTTTTAGGGAACAATCCCTTAAAATGAAGAAAAAGGAAGGAAAAAAAAGAAAAACAGCTTAGCAAAACTAATCAACATATAAAAAGCCATCTACTATGTACAGGGAGAATCAAGGTAAAATTTGCATGTACAAGGAACCTAAAACCATTAACACATGCTATCAAGTACTCACTAAGTGCCAAGCTCAGGAAAAGGAAAGAATGATTTTTGATAACTGTAAACTGGTATAAATATTTTTTTCACCAATGCATACATGTGCTACCTTTTTAGTGTTTATCAACAAGGAGCTATGTTAATTTAAAGAAAGGCAAGACTTTTCTGGTGAAGAAAGAGGGAAGGCTTCATGGAAGAGGTGGCATTTGATCTGAGTTTGATGGATTAGTAGAAATTGGGCAGGTGATGTTATGAGAGAGGGTATTCTTGGTGGAGGAAACAATATGAGTAGAGGTATGGTGGTGAGAAACCATGGGGTGTGTTTTGGGAACAGAAAGTCTTTTTTGGTTGGTTTGAAACAGACTAGTGAGAAATAAGTCTAGATTATTATATAAGTTTTTGTAATTGAAAATTTATCCCTTTATATTAAATCTTCTCATGCTGTGCTGTGTGTATGGCAATGTTTTTTTTGGTTGCTGTTGTTATTTTGTATTTAAGTTTAAAACAAACATATATAATAAAAAAAAAGTTTAGAGAGGTAGACTGGGACTTCCCTTGGAGGTCTGCTGGTAAACATTTAACAACCAGCTCTCAAAGAACTCATTTTAAAGTTTAAATTTCGCTACTAACATTTTTTTTACCATAATCTTAGGCCTAGATAACACAATAATAAAATAAATTAAGCATTGACTTATAGCTAGCTATCAAGGTGCTAATACTCACTTTGAAAACTTAATAGTCAGTAGAACTGCTAAAAACTCACTCCAGCATACCTTTAGTTGGGACCGAATTTTGGGGGACATTGAATGCCAAGTTGGAGGTAATAAATAATCATTAAAGGTTTTTGATCAAGGAGATCAGCCAAGAAGCACTTATTAAGCACTTACTATGTACAAGAAGATACTGTGTTAAGCACTGGGAATACAAGGAGAAGCAGAAAGACAGTCCTTGCCCTCAAGGAGGTTACATTCTACTAAAATTTATTTATTTAGTTATTTAAGGATTTCCAATTATTGGAGCTTTGATTCTAAGGGGGAGGAGGGGGGATGAGGAGACAACACATGAGAAGGAAGTAAAAAGGTGTGTGTGTGTGTGTGTGTGTGTGTGTGTGTGTGTGTATAGACAAGGTCCTGTGGAGATTCAGCAGTGCGGCCTGGAAAGGGAAGATAACATCTTTAGTGTGGGTCTTCTCCTTAAATTAGAGGTTCTGGGAAGAACTGGACAATCAGAAGGTGAGCCCTAAGGGGCAGAGTGTACTTCTAAAGTGAGAAAGTGAGAAGTAGTCTCAGGATGGGGTGAGCTTCCAGAGTGAAGAGGTTCCTATGGCATGGCAGAGAAAGTCTGGTGTTCACAAGTCAGTGCTGTAGCCTGGGAATGGATGGGAAGAAGGTAACCATGGTCTTAAAGTAGTTCTTCCAGCTTCTTGTAGGCAAATAATGTTTAAACAATGCAAAAAATTTGGGAGGGTGGTGGTCTGTCTTAGCTCTTATTTTCCTCAGATCAAGCCACCCAATTTAAAATTCCTAGTAAATTATCATGTTTTTGTCTCTGAATCACAATGTGTTATTTACAGCATACTAGAGTTGCATGTCTAAATGCTAATATGACAACACTAATAACCCTAATTTTGCTTTTATAGGACACATCTGCCAAACTATTCTAGACATCATATTAAATATGTGGCTTTTAAAAACATTAGAAAATTATTAAATGATATTGCCATGCCAAACATCTTAATAATAAACACATTTTGTGCTTTAAAAAATGGCCTAAATCCAATGCCCTGGCAAAGCTAAAAAATAAGGAATTTCAAACAGTCAGCCAAGCTTTTAAGGTTCACTCTCACTATGACAAATGAAAAATAGAAATGTCTATAAAAGGCAACTCTTAAAAGGATGTGGCGAAAAGACAATATGACAGAGTTAGAAGGACTCAAAGGATCATCTCTTCCAACCACTTATTTTTACAGATAATGAGACCAAGGCACTGAAAGTCAAAATGACTTCCCCAAGGCATCAAGGCCATCAGGTGGCAGATCTGGGATTCAAATCTATGTCTTTGGACCTGGCCAAGGATTTAGATTAAAGTCATTTCTTTTCAACAATGATTTAAATTGATAAACATGTATTAAGCAGGTACAATATGTCAAACAATATAATAGGCACTGAGAATACAAAGACAATGGGAAAACAGTCCTTGCCCTCAAAGTGTTACTATCTTATTAGAGAGGAGGGATACAGATAACTAAGTACAAAATATATCAAAATTAAGTTATGGCTGCATATTATAGAGAATAAGAAATTTGGAGCACTGGGGACAGGAAGAGGAAGGTACTAACAATTGGAGAATCAGGAAAAGTAGTGTGACGTGGCAACCAAAAAAAACTAATGTGATATTGGGCTACACTAAGAGGCAGAGCTTTTAGGAATAAGAAGATAATAGTACTTCTGTATTGTGCCCAATTATACCATGTCAGAAGTATTATGCTCAAGAATGGCAGAGTTTTGAGAAGGTCAGTGATAAAGTTGTGTTTTGAAGGAGCCTAAGGATCTTATAAGTGGACGTGAAGAAGAAGAGTCTTCAGGCGGGGGGGTACATCGTGCATAAACATGGAAGAAAGAGACATAATGTTGTAGATGGCAACATTTTAGTAGGTGAGCAATTAAGTCCCTCAGCACTACAGAGACATTTGTTGATGTTTGTTGACAATAATGATGGTGGTAAGATTGACAAAGAGAAATAGATGATGGATCTCCTTGACTTAAAAATGGTTTTATATTATACATTTACAGATTAAAAACTAAATAAATGCCTAGAGGTGATGGGAATCTACTAAAAATTAAAAGAAAATAGGAGTAGTAAATGATTAAGGTGTAAAGACGTGAAGAAAGACACTCATGGAGCAAGAGCAATTTGTCAGCAAGGTAAGACAAATAAGAAAAGATAAATGAAACAAATTGGAAGTCGAAGAAAATGGGCAGAGTATGTTGGCAGACAAGGTAAGTTGATGAAAGGGATAGGAAGTTGGGACAAGATGGCAGGAAGGGGGAAGCATAGTGTGGCTATGGAGTTGGCTTTGAAACTAGGGAAAGAAATTTGGATAGGGCTGCCAACTAACTAAGGGAAAATAATTGATTCTAAAGATCTTAATAAGATACCTAGGGGAAAGGCATAAAAGGTAATAACTGACTTTAAAGGTCTTAATGAGGTTCCCACAAGGAAGGCATAATCATCCATGAGTTAAAAAAAAAAGGAGATTAAAAAAAATCAGTAACTAGAGCAGTGACAATTTTGCAAGAACTTGCAACATACATATGACAGCTATACATAATGTCCCAAAAGTCTTAGTGCAGTTTAAGCTTGTGGGGGATGGGTAATAAGCATTTGTTAAGTGCCTACTATGTACCAGGCATTGTGCTTTACAAGTAATATCTCATTTGATCCTCACAAAGACTTTTAAAGACTAAGACTTTTGGGAGACCATGTATTTTTGATATAGTCATACAATGTCATTTACTATAAAAGTTTTAAGATAGATTATTCAGGAGATGGTTAGTGAACATCCAGAAAAGGAAAGAATAATTACAAAGGGGCAGTGTGCTTTTATCAAGAGTAGGTCATGAGGCAGCTAGGGGATACTGGGAATGGAGCTCCGGCCTTAGAGTCAGGAGGACCTGAGTTCAAATGTGGCTTCAGACACTTGACACTTACTAGCTGCGTGAACCTGGGCAAGTTACTTAACCTTGATTGCCTCACCAAAAATAAAAATTAAAAAAAAAAAAGAGTGGGTCGTGATTTAGAGCATCCTTTCATGTGACTGTCGATATCTTTGATTTCTTCTGAAAACTGCCTGTTTATATTGTTTGACCATTTGTCGTCTAGGGAATAGTTCTTTATCGAGAAACTTGCTATAAATTTTTTTTCTCAGTTCTCTCTTTTCCTTTTAATTTTGGTGGCATTAGATTTGTTTGTGGAATTTTTTTTTAATTTCATGTAATCAAAGTTTTTTTTTTTTTAAACTTCTTATATCCTCTCTATCTCTTGTTTGGTCATAAAATTTTCCTTTATCCATAGATCTGACAGGTATACTTTTCCACACTCCCCTATTTACTTATGATATCACCTTTTAAGTCTAAATCATTTATCCATTTTGATCTTATCATAGTACACATTGAGAGATATTATTCTATGCCTAATTTCTGCCAAATTGCTTTCCTGTTTTCCCAGCAATTTTTGTTCAAGTGGTGAGTTCCCACTCCAAAAGCTTGGATTTTTGGGTTTATCAAACATTGGATTACTATGGTCATTTTCTACAGTGTACTGTGTACCTAATCTATTCCATTGATCTACCACTCTATTTTTCAGCCACTACCAGACTGTTTTGATGATTACTGCTTTGTAATAG